TTAGGCTTCGCAAAATAACGAGAGCTTTTCACTGGATACTAATAAGCAAGCCAAGGAACATTTATCATTTTTAATCCCAAGGAACTAAGCAGGAAAACAGAAGCATCTCTTATTAATTCTGCATTTTCACCCTTTCATTTTTTCCAACTTTATGGAGAGGAAATTTATGACCATTCCTGATGGAAAAAGTCAACCTCCTTGAAGGTATATGACTGGTTGTTCTTATCCGGATAGTTTGAAAAAGTTAATTGACTAAGGTGGGAAGTATTGGTCTTCATTTTGAGCACTGATCACCCTACCTTCTCATAGGGTGGAGTTATCTGCTTCAGCATAGGTTATAAAAACTTTATAGAAAATATCAAACTCCAGAAGACTAGTGAATGAGAGAGTTCAGCAGTGGATCAGACGAAGAACGCTGCTTTAGATTGTGACATGTAAGAACAGATACCTACTGCTCCATGTAAAGGTCTTTGAAGAGGTGCAGCTGGTTCAATGTGAAGAAGGTATGCAGAAGCATCATTAGTGCGTGAGACCACAGTTCTAGGAATGACGGAGGATTTTGGTCTCAAACAAGTCTGGAAGATAGTTTTGAATTTAAAGACAAAAGGCAACCAAGGTAGTGCCAAGAATAACCTTATGAAAAAGATCTTTTATGCTCTTTGGGAAAACGATCTTGTAAATTGTGGTATAAATGGAAAGGAGCAACATGTTGTTAGGGCGTTAGTGGGACTATATTATGTCACATGGAAGTTGGAATAGATGTATACAGGGAGCTAGGCCTTTGAACTGAGTTCCTGTTATTTCCTAGTACCTATCTAACGCCAATCAGACAAGCCAAGTACGTGTGCATTTTTTTCGGGTATAGAGAGCATCAAGATCGCATATTTTCGGACAGTAATAAAGAGCTTAATTGCCTGAAAGTTTTTGAGTTATAGAGGCCAAGAAACAGCTTCCCAACCAGTTGCCACGCTTGGTTAATAATTGAAACGTTAAACAGGGAAGGACACAACTTAGCGGGCCGGGGCGAGGCAGGGCTTAAGCAGGGAAATATGCTAGACGGGCCAGGGCAGCGTGGGTTAAGGCTTGCCCTGCCTCGCTCCGCCCACCACATTTACGTCCCTAAGTTAGAGGAGGATTTTGGAGGTTAGTGTTGAAAGACTGAAAGGAACACAAAGTTGAATGCTGATCATTCGGAGTATCGGGGCTCAATAATGGGTTAGATACAACTCAGAAAGAGAAAAAGAGTGAAAGATACAGTTGATGACTTCTTGTCCTCTGTCAAGTTGCTCGAGAACCTGTTAATAGTCATGTCCATATGTATCCTTGATGATGCCATAGCCTGACAATCGTGAAGATAATAAGAGCGTTAGTATGTTTTGATGAAATCGAAGGAAGGAAAGCCGACAATGAACATCAGACTATTAGAACTTAAGTAGAAAGACGGCAATCCTAGAGCAAAGTCACTGCTAAGTGGTTGGCGTTTTTCCATCTTCACGCCTTCACTAATGTCGGGCTGCATGGACTATTTCTCATCCTTTGTGCTGTTTACCATTTGCGTGAAATTGACTTTGAACTTTGACCTCAGAAAAATTTCGTGTTCTCCCTGTGGGATATAAAAGAAGTTAAATAAAAACAGAAACCAACATCCTAGGTTCCTGCTTTGATATCCTTATTGAGTAGTTTATTTGGTTGTCTAGTAGACCACTGACAAGCCTAGGTGTGGAGTTACTTCTAATGCTTTCTGTGCCTAATATTGCAGCTGGATGCGCCACTTTCAGCAATGATGAGAAGTCCACCTCCTTCTGTAACAACCTCAACATCCATCGGTCGTGTTATTGATCTAATGCTAGAGAAGAGGTACAAAATGGTTATTGTTGCAAAATACGAAAATGTGCGGGGAATGTTTTACAGCTCCAGTGTAAGGGCTGTCGGAGTTTTTACATCTGAACAGCTATATAAGCTTGCTCCAACCTCATCGGAGCTAGCTGTTCAAAATTCTTCTTCTTGTAGAGAACCTATTGAAATATGTAGATAGTGTACCTCAACAAAGGAACTTTTCATGAGCATATTCTTATTCCATTGTAGAATAGGCTATCATTTCTTTTTGGCCGCTGAGTTCTTCGTCTGTCACTTATCACAGCAAGATTGCAATACTATCCGCTTTGAATGGTTTGATTAGCTCAACAATATGTAATGTTGGTGCTGGGTTGGTGACAGAAATATTCACGTATATGCGAACTTTGTAGTTGTTAAAACATGATTATATAAGTAAATGTATTCCCGTATGTGGGCATGGATGAGCCTTGACTGGACCAGGATTAATGGAAAACGAAAGATTCCCCATCACATCATTAACAATTAAATGATCACAAAATTTAATATGATATCAAAATATGCAGAATTTAAGTCTTACCTTCCCCTATTAACAAGTAGGTACGTAATTGACCCAAAAGGAACAGGTCGCGCTTAAGGGAGCTTGTTTTTTTTTTTTTTTTTTTTGTTTTTTTTTTTGGGTTAGAGGGAGTGTTTCATGACAATTAATTAAATAAATCCATCTTTTTGAACAATTTAGGCTTTTTAGATAAAATGATGACACAATTAAAGATGAATAAGGTCCTTATGTGACTTAGAACCGAGGGTTTATAGGAAATAGCATTTTTACCTTGCACAAGGTAGGAGTAAGATCTAGGTACACTTTATTCTCCCCAAACCATTTGTAGAATTATATTGAATATGTTATTGGTGTTGTCTTTATGTGACTTAGGCCTCCTTGTACTGGAGGCTAGAGTCGACCACATCGTCGACAGCAAAGATCACGCAACATTTTTGTATAGCATTTTCCACAGATGGTTCCACGCTTCCACTTTTAATGCTCATATCAAATCGGTTCTTGCAAGCTCGTAAACCAACAAGTAGAGGAAAACTAGTAGTCCATATCCTAGTGAATCATCGAATGGAAACGAAGAAATTGAATCCTTAAAGTTAATTTGAACTTGAGAGTTCCAAATTTCAATATGAAAGGAGAAACGATACTGAAACTTTTGTTTAGAACAATATTCACAGGCTTAATTCTCAAATAGATACTCGTTGTGGCACAGATTTTCACCCTCAGCACCTCAACTTCACGAATTTTTTATCTAACACCTGACTCTGTAAAAGTCTGCTGTTTTAAACGCCACTGATCATGGACTGAGCTTATGTGGCAATTATATGGGTGAGTTTGACAAAGTGCATGGCATACACGACTTAAGATAGTGTGGAAGTGAACCATTCATTGTTCCTTTCCCCTTCTCAAGTGCAGGTCCATGGTTTAAACCACAGGCTGCAGTGATTTAGTCGTGAAGAGGATAAGAAACCTTGAGAGGGTGAAAGCTAATCGTGAAAATTGAGGTCCAAATATGGAAATCGGCTCAAGGGGGTCCGGTTGTTGTTTATTCGTTATGAAGGAGAGAGCAGATATTTTTTCGATGGGTAGTGCAACCGCAACCTTTCTCAATCTAGTTGTATGAAGCGTAACGCATGTATTTCTTAAGCTAGTTGTATGAACGAAGAATAAAAAGCCAATAAATGACTCAGATTTACCAGCCTGATACAGGGGTGAAGATGGATTTGCTACAGTATTGTGCTAGCGTTTCTTTTGCAGTTTCGCTTTCTTGAGACCAAGTAACTTAGCTGCTATTTCATCTTAATCTGAGAGCGCTATTCAAAGATTATATTTTTCAGGCTCTTGAACTGGAAAGGAATTTGACCAAAGAATGTTTCTCATGAGGTTATCTTTGGGAAATGACGTGTTATCTAGATTAGTGCAATGCGCAAGGTTAGAGGCTCAAAACACTTGCTTTTTACAAATTAAGGTGTCTAGTTGAGGATCCATGGAGTTGGGGTACATGCCTTTATTTGCCTACTACACAGATTCAAAGAAAGTTTGGAAAAATAAATCAAAGAATCTTAGGAAAGTGAAAAAGGAAATACAATTTACAAAGAGAAGAAAATGAAGATACACCATCAGCAAGTAAAAATGCGTCCGTTCCCTCCATCCCGTATTTACCCTCCTCCTTCAATCCCTGTTGCGGACTTCCAGACCATAACAGTACCACTGACTTGCAGCCGATCTCTTGCCCGAATAATACCTCTCTGTCTCCAACGCCAGCCACCGTCAACCTGCTTCTTTTTCCAGTATACCCTTTGGTGACACCACCTACCTCAATCCAGGAGTGCCAATTCATTTCTTTTTTAGCTTTTTTGAACTGTCATAAATGCTAAATCAGCCCTACCTATAATGTTATTTAACTTGTTTTGCGAAAAAACATGCGCAGTTGCCACAAAATTGGAGACTGAATGTGCAGCTGGATTCACAGGTACGAAAGTAGGAGTTTGCATCATGAAAACCCAAAGTACAAGAAACCTTGACATTATTACCGTGAGTACAGTTAGCTAAACAGGTAAAGGTCAATATAATAAAGAGCTGAAATTCATAGTTCATGAGAATGTGATGTCAGGAATATGAGCTATTTTCTAATCTCACATATCCATTTATCTGTCGTATATGGCCAATTTACAGCAGACCTACTTTTTTCTACTCTTCTTTGTCATTGAATCATTGAACCTAATTTTGCCACTTAAAATTGGAGCTGTCATAGTGTATATTAGCCAGTAAAGAATCAGAGAGCAAAACAAATGCAGCAAGACAAGGAATACACATACATTATTCAGATGATAAGGAACTGTATGTCAAAAGAAACTCAATTATGAGTTATGACTTACACCAAACATAACTGCCACAGCAACTAAGAGACCTATTCTGAAACTGATAAAACCTAGGTGCATCAGAAATACATATAAAGCAGCTTCTGTAAAGTTAACAAAGTGCAGGAGTGTCTTACGAGGAAGAATCCAACTTAGATTCATCAGTCGCCCATGTTTTTCCTAGAGTTGTCATCACAACGCCTGACATGCTAACAAAGACTCCATGTATACTGATGGGGTTAAACTTAGGAAAGTAGCATAACAATAATCTCTTTTTCACATCATTTATGAAAATAATACAATTCCCACTTAAAGAATTTAAAGTTCTTTTGGAAAACTATAAGCATAGTACAACGAGGGGCTGGTTCACAAACTTAATACTAAGAGAAATACTCATTTATCTTGCAGGGAGATGACAGTTTCAAAAGCACCAGCCAGTGCTCTTACTTTGTTCTTCCTTTGCTCCCTAAGTTTGCTTGCAGTCTCTTCGATCACGTTATTCGAAACCACTGACTCGTTATTCTTGCCTTGCACCACTTGATGTTGAGGTTTTGATGATGCCACTGTTGTATTTTTCTCTGGCACGGCATCAGTTTCTTCAACTTGCTTGGGATTGAGACATAGTTTTTGTTGTTGTACTGCTTCTGTTTCTTCTATTATGGCAGCTTCCTCTTTCAACTCTTGATTCTCCTCGGATGATACATTTATAACAACTTCTTCTTTTTCCTTCTCTGAATAAGTTTCATTAGGCTCATCGCTGATTTCTTCTGGTTCTTCAACCTGTGGATTTTCTTCTGGTTCTTCAATTTTGATTTCTTGATTTTCCTCAACTATGGATGACGATTCAGCTGCATCCTTGATTTCCTCCAATTCCGCATTGTTTACATTTTCATTAATCTCTTCATGATCATCCACGCCCGAATCATTATCCCCTGCATCAGAATTAGCAGTCATTTCGCCATCACTTACATTCATTTCCTTTTCGGTTTCATGGATCGTTAATTCTTGATGATCTTCTTCCGTCTCTGACTGTTCGACCTGTGAATTTGTTACTACTGATGCTTTTGTAGTTGAACCATTAGTGCTGTCATGCTTCCTGATGGTTGTGGTCGTCTTTCTTTTGGTCACTGGCTTAGAGTTTAGGCCAGCGCCACGTTGTTTCCCAATGGCATCCTTACTAGTTTTTGAGAATTTATCCAAAAGGGGTTTCTGGGAAGTAGAAGTCTTGGCTGATAAAGATGACGATGAACGAGGAATTCTCTCCCTAGGATTAGGGGAAATTCGAGTTTTTGGTGAGGAAGAAGGCAGGGGAGGCTTATTATCGAATGATCTTCTTCGAGTTAGAAGAGAAGATTTAGTATTATTATTTTGAATGTTGTGAAGGTCACTTGAGGATGCAGACTTCTTAGATTGAGTAATTGTTGGTTTGAGGTAACTAGGAATGTTGTTGTTTAAGGTAGTTGTTGGATCAGCTTGTTTTCGGACCGGAGAGGTTGTCTTTGATGTGTTGGTGGTGCTTCTCTTTGGAGATGGAGATGTCCCTCTCTTCTCCTTTCCAGGAGGAGCAGTGTCCCTTGTCCTTGTTGCCATTGTTTTTGCTTTTGGAAAGATTTTACACCTGTAGTTTGAGAAGTTTAACAAATAGTAAAGAATTTTTTTGTTCAAACAGGCTTGTTGAATGATAAGGAAAAAATTAGAAGCCAAAGTTAATTTGTTGCAGAGATCCTATAAGAGTGGAAAGGGTGTCATTGGCCAATTCTACAAACAGAGTAGAATGGAAATGCGTCATGTTTAAGAATGATGCCAGACCAAAGGCGAAATTGGCTCCAACTACAACTCTTAACCACTGATAGAATAACCAGACATGGCTTAAAAGTTGAATCTAAATGTGTATTGTGTCAGACCTGTGATAAAACAGTTGATCATTTATTCAGACAATGTGAATTTGCACAAAGAGTTGATGATGTGCAAGATCAGACTGATCAGTCACATTCACAATATCATTTCTAGAGCTAAAGGCAAGTAACAAGCTGCACAGGTTTTATATGCTGAATTTGTACCAGTAGCAAGGGAGATTGCAATAGTTTGTAGTGTTAGAGCTTCCCCTAGAATTCAGAATGTTGTTCATAGACTTGAATTCTAGGTTAAAATAATTTAGTACTAATTTTCTTTTGTTTGAGATAACAGGCTGTGTGTAGCCTTGTTATGGATCATGTAAATATATACTTGGTGATTAATACAAAAAAATTTAGTTACCAAAAAAAAAAAAACATATCAGAAGTGCTTGTGGTCTTAAATATATTATTATGGTTATAACTGTATGTCATTAGGGTAAATTAAGAAGTCAAAAGTTAAAAGCATATAAAAATAGTAATATACGGTATCACAAATTAAACTACATCAATAGGGTAAACACAAAAAAATTAAATGGTGTGTCCCTTGTGTGAGTGGTCTTAGATGAATGTCCTCGTAACTGATTGTATTTAATAAATGAATTTTCTCTCTTTTCCTTTGTATGCCAAGCAACATATTTGCCCTTTCAGCTCCTTCTTCATCGTCTTTCTTCTTCACCAACAATCACATAATTCTTCAACTTTAGAAGATTAAAATTCTTATTTTAGGATGAAAAATAAAAGTTAATGAAAAATTATTTCTAAAGTCGTTTGAATATTGATAATTTGTGCTTAAATTTTTAGTTCAAATACTGATTTAATGATTTACTTTACAAATCTCAAAACTCTACCTTGGTCCTTAGAAAGTATTAAAGAAAATAAAGTGGGTCTTCTTGATTCTTTTTTACTAGATTAACAATTGGGGATCGTTTGTGTTGGTATTTAGATGCTTTGTTTTAAATTTGAGATCACTTTGAGAAAATTTAGGGTAGTTTGATTGAAATTGAAATTGCAAATTCTGGAAATATTTTGTTGAACACTACAAAAAATTATGTCAATCAAGCAAACTTTGATGAACAATTTAACAGATAAGACAAAGTCACACCAATCTGGTAGAGTTTGGTAAATAATTGAACAAGCACAAAATTATATCAACCCAATAGAATTTGATGAATAATTTAACAGATAGGTCGATTGCAGATCACACAAAGTTATGCCAATCAAGTAGAATTTGGTGAATAATTGAACCAACAAAAAAGAGTTTGTGAACGATAACAATAGAAGTAGGATAAATATAGCATAAATTTTACCAATCCGGAGAAATCTCTAAAGAACAATAAGTGTGTGCGCGGTTCCGGAGGTTATTCTTTAAATACATTAAAAAATGGGAATAATATTTAAAGACCAAACCTTTATGGGACCGTTCCTGTCAATCACCCGTAAAGCACAATTACACTATCATGATATATTGAGTATGGCCCTTCTTACGATCCAAGCAAGAAATAAACTAGGGCGAAGTGCACCGGTAGACACTTTAAGTATGGTGTTTAAAATATATCTACAATTTATAATGTATTTAAAGATTAGCAAATTCACCCAACCTTCAAGACTAATTATTCTGAATTTTTTGAGCAGTTAATTTGGAATTCAGGACATAAAAATCGAATTTCTGGACAAAACTTTCGAACTTTAGGACACAATGTCCTGAAGTTTGAACTTTGAAGCTTAAACTCTAGGATGTTGTATCCTAAAGTTTGAACGAATCGGCTAATCCTTAAATATATTATAAATTATGGATATATTTTAAACGGTGTGCTTAAAAGTGGCTACATGGTGTCATTTTCACAATAAAGTACTCCCTCCGATTCACAATAAGTGACCAGTTTCCTTTTTACACGTCCATTAAGAAAATGCTAAATCCTATACAAAAATACCTAGTATGAGTAAACTACCCTTATTAAATATTGGTCACATAGTTATAGTGAGGAGTGAGAAAACTTTTAAGGGATATGCACATAAGGGTAAAAGAGTAAAAATAAATTAAATTTTTTCTTGATTACACAACTGGACACTTATTTTGAAACAAAATGAAAAAGTAAATTGGTCACTTATTATGAACCGGAGGGAGTATCACGTTTCAACTTATAAGTGCATTCTAAACTTATCAAATTTCTTTCATTACATTTTAATCTCAATAAAGCACCAATTATGTATTAGAGAATAACAACTTTTCTTAAGGTAGAGATTGTATACATTGCTGCCTAAATTAATGAATTGAACTTTAATTATGTGCAAATAAATAGGTGAGAAAGTAGAGTAAAGAGAAGGGGTCGAATGGTTTTATGATCATTATAAACTTATATTTTTAGTAAAGAGAAACGCGCTACATTAATGATTAGGAAAATTAGCAAAATGTATATGGCCCTACATTCGTTTTAAGAAACAAAGCTGAATAGGTATTCTTTAGTTTAATGGCCAGTGGTTTTCTTCCAATATTTGCCAACTATTGCGTATCTCCTAAACAACTCAAGCAATGACACTAAGAATAGGAGAGATAAATTGGAAACAAAGCCAAGCCAATTTCTAACTTAATGTTGAAATTGATGATAATAAAAGTTAAATTAATAAAAATAAATAATGATATTAATAAAATATAGAGTTCCATCTATCACGGATTAGGAGCTAATACTTCCAATATCTCTTGAATGGGAATAAAACCCCTTATGACCAAAACATTAGTTCTTCCTGCTATTTAAATTTGAAACCCTAAAGAAAACATCTCATAATCCATAATATTAATAAAGGTTCTTTCTTACCCTTTGAAACTTCCGATTATTTCAGTTTGCTTGTTGACTCTAAGGCGTTCCCTACTCATAGGAAAAAAAAAACCTCCTTATCAAATTAAATTCCTTGTCATTCTTTTTTATTTTTATTTTTTTTCCAGTTCATAAGGTCACTCGTGAGAAGAAACTTTGTACGTATCTTCTTTAGTTCGAACCAAATTTACAAAAGAGCACAATTACTTCTCTGACCAATTTTTCCGACAATGTGCACATTACAAATATGGATATTAATTTCTATACGCTGGAAATACACTTTAAATCAAATATCAATAATTTATGACGAAAATATTTTTAAGAATCTCAGCTACATTCCTATAAAGTGGAAAACAACATCCTTTTTATGCAGTTTGACCTTAAAAAAGACACCTCCAAATTCTGACGCCTTCTCTTCCTCCCCCCCCCCCCCCCCTTTCTTTTTCTTTCCTTGTTTGTTTTGTTTTTGTTTTTGGTTGTTCTTTTTTACTTTTGATATTCCTTTTTCTTATCCTAATTAAACCATTTTCTTTTTATTCATCTACTGCTACTGATGAAGTGAGTAATTAATTTTCTGAAAATGCTGTTTCCAAAATGGTGGTCAGCAGAGGCGAATCCAGGATTTAAAATTTGTGGGTTCGTGTCGCAATCTCAAATTAATATACCATAATAAATGGGTTCACAGTTAGATATTTAGTAATTTTTTTAATAAAAATACAGGGTCTACCCAAAAATTATTGGATTCCCGGGAACCCATATACTATGCTCTAGATATGTCCCTGGTGGTTAGCCATCCCCTCCACTATCCACCCCGTAAAAGAAAAATATAAAGATATAATATCATTTTATAAAAATCTTATAGGTTATAACTTTCAAGAAAAGTTTTAAAGAATGTAAAAGATGATATAACTTAGGATTCATGTCTAAAGCAATATGATAAATCTCTTGAAACAAAATGCATAAATTCTATTGAAAAAAAGAGTAGAGCTAGAGAATAAATGAGAAACTGAAAGATATATAGAGGAAAACGCACCTTTTTTAATGAAAGGAGATTATGGAAGTCCTTCATCATTAGAGATAGTTGATTGTTAGGGAAGAAAACAAATGAGGTATTTGGGAGCAAAGGAGCTTAAAAGAAGGAAGAAAAGGACAGAAAAATATTGATTTATTTGAAAAAAAGTTTCAGATTTTTGGAATTTTGGTTGTTATATTCCGTGCGTAAAATATGGACATCCCAAGGTTGTGGAAAACACATAAAAAACACAAAGATGTGATTATCATTCCTGTTAAGAGACAAAAATATTTAGTACGTAATTGTTTTAGTTTGACCATTTCAAAAAGAAGCCTCTCATGCTACTTATATGGTTTGACAGAATTTGGTGTTTAGTGCAATTAATTATTGGATGTATATGATGTGGAAAAAGAGCTAAAAATGGGCTTAAGGGACACTGCAAGTAATTAATGGATGAAAATGTTGAGCGGTGCTCCCAGCTTGGATGCAGTGGTCAGCTCAACAGAGTTGGAACTAAAAAGAAACCAAGACCATTTAGTAAGGATTTCATCTAGGACTTGTTCTAAAGTAAGAAAGGCCAGCACCCGAAGAATCTCGCATATATAAAATCTAGAAGTAGGCTGCTCATCCAGCACTAACCTCGTAAAATAATTTGTGACATACTCCAGTGCCTTAATTTCTTCAAAATTAATCATATTGAGTGTGGCGCCTGTCACTTGTACGGAACTAGGTATTAACCAATTAATGTACCGGCAAGCCTAGCTTGCAGCGATATAACATGGATAGAGTTGCTAAGGTATTTCCCAGATGAATCTAACGTGATTTTTATGTAAGAGATTTGGTTACTGCTTCACTTTATATATAGGTATTATTGGCACTTGAGAGAATCGAACAAGATGAAGACTTAACATATATATGAGGTATTTTTTTTTGAGTATTTCTTGACCACCACACAATGTCCTATCTGGTTTTGTCAATGAAACTAGTGTTTTCTGTCTAAAGCAGCTGCTTGCTTTCGAGACGAACTTGTTGCTTGACGACCTTAACTTCTATGACCAGCGCGAATAGGGACATGAGACTGGATATAGATAGCATGCCCTATGAGGTCTGTTTTGTATTTTTGATACATTATTGAGTACTGAGTATGTACTAGAATCCGCATTCTTACAGCAATGGTCTAAGAAAGTCTTTTTGCAGGAATTATTAGCTCTTGAGGAGAGGATGGGGCACGGCTCCGTCAGAGGAGGCATTATCAAAATGCATTCAAAGAAGCATTTATCAATGCATGCACTCAGACGAAGGGGCATTTGAAGGTGATGGGAATGCGATCAAATGCAGTATTTGTCAGGTATGCATTTGACTATTTTTATACTTACTGAAGCGAATACCTCCGTTCCCCCACCCCCTTTTCTGTGCTGCCTAAATTGGCAACGTTTCAACTATCCTTGACATAGTTTCTTAAGATCTTGGGATGCTATATCTAAACAATGATCACATAATTTCAGTGACTAAGCGCGGATGCCACTTTATTTGCATGAGGAGTGTGTCATGGGGAAAAAATTGGAAAACTAGAAATGCGAGCATGATTTTCATATGGAATGTGTACAACAATGGTTAAAGTTCAATAATTGGTGCCCAGTCTGCAAGACGTACTTTCGAACCCACCTCATTGAGCTTAACGCCCTATAGACCTTTTTATGAAGGCCTAACTTGACAGGCCCGGACGGCCGATTCATAAGGGTGTGAGATCTTTCTTCCCAACGAGCCCTTTTTTATTTGGAAGATGGACATTGCGTTCAATTCGAAAGGGATGGTTTTTAGTATGTCTCCAGATAGGGCCCCACTAGTCCGTCTAGCTAGACGAAGGGAGGGAGGTGAGGCGGGGGAAGAAAAATGCTTTCAGAGATCGAGATTTTTTTTCCATCGAAAACGAAGAAGGCCAACAATGTCCTACGGTGCGTCTTATCTGAAGGGAACCCACTTTTTGGACCGCCGTGATATGATTGTCGGGCCCTCTCCTCGTTAAGCCTTTCCTATTGGGTTCTTAATCCCACTTTTTATGTCTGTCAACAAGAGCCCAGCCCTTGGTTCAATTGATAGATAGGCCGAAAACATATTTCCGGACAAATGAATAGACCTTTCCTTACTTGACCGGGGCGGCTTTTTTCTTTCACAATAAGACCTGGACGATTATCCCTACCTTCGGCAGCTTACGAGTTTACGTCCATCCCTGGTCGGGTACCGTTTCCTTTCGATTTCTCCCTTGTAGTTGTTACCTGAATTCGCGCAAGTGTTTCCACACCCCCCAAACTTACTTGGCGAGGAATCCTTTCGCGAATGAACACAACCCCTGCACACACCTAGGAGCACCCCTTCCTGCATATCCATACAAGACCCGAGTAGGCGTCAATTAAAGACCGGATTATCTTAGCGGACACTGGAGAGAAATCCCTAGTAACTTCTAAGGCTAGAAGACCACTAGAAGACACCCAGGACTATAACATGTCGTGAAAGAAGCACACTGGATGGGTGTGCTTCGACCGTGTCTCCGAGTTACAGTTGAATGTAGATATCATGAACGCGAGGTATAGGATACCAGGCCAAGAAACTCGGGGGTCAAAGGTTGTTCTTGCGATAGTACGAATGTTGCGCGAGACCTCTTCAACCTCACCTTCGTGTTAGCTTGCTTGTACTATCGCTCGCCTGTCTGACCTACTTTTTGGATAGCTTCTTTATGGCAAGCACTACCCTAACCTAGCTAGCGCTACATCTTGCTAACGTCGAACGTCGGGCCGTCCTCATTACCGTAAGATCAAACAAGTAAGCTCCAATACATAACTCCTTAGTACGTCAGCGGCTATCAAGATCGCTTTGTTAAGCAGTGACTTTATCCGAGAGTCATCTAAAACTCTCTGCCACAAACTAAAAATTAAATTACCTTACGCTTGTATCATTTCACTTGAGTCGGGAACTCCTGTTTACCTTGACAATTATTCCTTCTTATAGATATCACCAAAAAAGTGGAAGACTAAGAAGTCTTTGTCTCGCCCATGCCCATGAAAGAAAAGATCTGTAACGACCCGATCAGTCATTTTGAGGATTTGCATCCCGTTTGGTGGCTAAAGGTCTCGATCAGCTTTGTATTATCCATTATGACTTGCGTGGGTGACCGGGTTTGGTTTTTGGATGATTCGGAATTGTTGGAAGGATGATTCTTGTTTTAGAAGCTTAAGCGGTAAGTAGTTGATCGGAGTTTGAATTTTGTATAGACGACTCCAGAATAGTGTTTTGACGATACTGATAGATTCGTATGGTGATTTTGGACTGGCGCATGTCCGGATTTGGATGGGAGGTCCATAGGTTAATTTGATTCATTTTGGCGAAATTTGAAAAGTTGAAGGTTGAGAGGTATGATCGGGAGTTGACTTTGTTGAAATCGGATTCGGGTTGCAATTCCTGGAGTTGAAATAGCTCCCTTGTGTCATTTGGGACTTGCATGCAAAATTTAACGTCATTCCGGGTTGATTTGATATGATTCGGCGCGAGTTGTAGAAGTTGAAAATTCATAGTTCATTAAGCTATAATTGAGGTGCGATTCGTGGTTTTGATATTATGTTTTGGGATTTATGGTCTCGAGTAGGTTCGTGTTATATTTTAGAACTTGTTCGTATGATTTGATGGGGTCCCGAGGGGCTTGGGTGTAATTTGGATCATTAGTTGAGAGACTAGTTAAGTTAAGAAATTTGGAGTTTGACCATGGTCAGTATTGGGTCAAGAAAACCTCTTTTCAATGTTTTGAGTGCGCGAGCAGCTCCGTAGCGTGTTTTAGGATTGAAATTCATATGTGGTTTGTGTCCGGAAGGTTCCGGATGTGTTTCGAGGTGGTTGCGGATTATCTCGGTGAAGTTTGGGATTGCTGGTGTTGTTGGTTCGCAATTGCGAACTTTTGGTCGCAATTGCGAAACTTATTCGCAATTGCTAACATGCGGTCCGAATTGCTAACACCTACAACTGCGAACTTTTGGTATCAAATGCGAACATCCATAATTGTGAACTTTTAGTCGCAAATGCGACATTTGTAGCTGGGTTAAGAGTTGGAATTTTGGGGTTTTAGCTCATTCTTTCATATTTTGAACCCTAGATTCGGTAGGAGCCGATTTGGAGAGCGGTTTTTCATATACAATCATTTGGTAAGTGATTTTAATTAATTTCCAACTATTTTACATGATTATAAATGAGATTTAACATCAAAATTATGAGAATCAAAGGGGAATTTTGAGACACTTTGTCGATGTTTTGAAAAATGAAAATTTGAGATTTGAGAGTCGAATTGGACTCGGATTTTGAAATAAAACACATATATAGACTCGTGGGGTTATGGGTAGTCGGAATCTACCCTTGGGCTCGGGTTTTGACTGGGCGGGCCCGGGGTTGACTTTTGAGAAATTGTGTAAAGAGCATAGCTTTATTTATTGGAATTGATATCTCTTGCATTATTTGATGTTAGTAAGTCGATTTGGTTAGATTTTAGCCCAATAGAGATTAATTGTAAAAGGAAAAACTATTTTAGAGTATTGATTGAGGGCTTTTGAGGTTAGTATCTTGCCTAACTTTATC